AAATAAATAAATAAGCCCAGACACCAACAGCCTAGTAGGGTTAACTATTTAAATACTTAACTAGTACTAAACTATAATAACTACAAATTAAGTTCATTATTAATGGTATAATAATTCAATAATGCATTCAATATTTTGGCTTTTTTTTAAATTTAATTTAAACATTTAATTGGTTTTTTTTTTTTTTTTTTTAACTACATTTTTCAAACATTGCCTAAAAAAGGACACATCAAAAGGAGTGTTTTAAGTTATCTTTACCTGTAGAAGCTGTTAAAGGCAACACAGACTTGTTGCTGCTGTAGTTTTGTTTCTACAAAAGACGCTTCCCTTATAGCGTAACTGACCGAGCTTACTCACGTGGAAACTCCTGATATAATCAATAACTAACTATACAATGAATATTTTATTTACATTGTGTATGCATTCTTTTTGTCTTGTTATAATAGGATGTAATAGGATATAATACTGGTCTTATGGTCATACCTCTGATCTGTAAAAACATTCATCACTAAAATAATGTAACAAACTATATATCATAATTCTGTACAATATGCATATACGATATTACCTACTAAAGTGCAAACATCAATACACATGAATACCATGTATACCAAAAAAGTCATTACACATGTATTACTTACCAGTTTAGCAAAGTACCACATCTTGTCTTTGCTGTATTTAATCTGACGTCTGCAGTGATAGATCTCCTATTATACACAAACAAAACCATAAGTCAAACCCAAAATAACAAGTTAACCCCATGATGAACGCCATTACATGCAAAATAAATTAAATGAATTACTAACAGCAGGTCTGCATGGTTCATCTTTCTGTTGTGGTGGATACACAATCAGATTTTTCCTTTCCCAGTGTTTGCTGTTTAACTCTGTACTTGTGTGAAGACGTGACATCTGAGATAACGTAGATGAAGGGCCAAGCAGCCTGAATGGGGCATGACAGATTGTAAAACAATAAATAGGCTGCGTTTCAAACCCTAGCATTAAACAGCACTTTTGATTAAATGCTGTTTATCTAGGTAGACAAGTAGTTATGTTTTGAGACACAATCACACTGATTATATTAGATTGAAGTCGGTGTCATTTTACATTGCACAGCAACTGCATGTGATTTTCTTACCTAGAGTGAATATGTCCACAAGCACGACCAATGGCGGCTAAACCTATCAATAATGTCCATATAATTTCCAGTTAAAACAAAATGACGGAAATGCATATATCATGTAAATAAATAATGTAATAAATGTAAAAAAAAAAAAAAGTATATTTGGTTTGACTCACCAGCCCATGTCACCACGGAGGCCGCCATATTATCTTCTTCTTTTAGGATTTAATGGCGGTTGGCAAACCAACTTAAAAGGTGCATTCCTGCCACCTACTGGAAAGGAGTGTGAAGCGCAAAATGAATAGGAACTTTAGAAACAAGAGATACTTATTAAAAAAAAAAAAAAACGGAAAAAGAAACCGATATCCTAAATCCTATTAATCAATTAAATAATTTTCCTTTAAATAAATAACTAATTCGCAATATATTCTTGATTGTTTAGGTCCATCACCTAACAAAACTTGACAGATCATTTATTTTTCAAATATCTTAAAGCTTGACTTAGTTGGAAACGTTCTTTCATAAGCCTCACATTGTATAAGTACATGTTCTACAGCAGGGGTGTCCAACCCTGCTCCTGGAGAGCTACCATCCTGCAGATTTCAGCTCTAACCCCAATCAAACACACCTGAACCAACTAATCAAGGTGTTCGGGGTTGCTTGATAATTACAGACAGGTGTGCTGGAGCAGGGTTGAAACTAATGTCTGCAGGACGGTAGCTCTCCAGGAGCAGGGTTGGACACCCCTGTTGTTCTACAGTTTCTGTTAACCCACATTTGTCACAATTTCCATTTTCATGTTTTCCTATTCTATGTAAGCACTGATTTAATAAACAATGACCAATACGCATTCTTGCTATTAAAACGTCCTCTTTCCTGTTTCCAAATCTTCTTCGCTCTGAACCTACTTTTTCTTGTATGCAGTGTAAATACCTTTTGTTCCTTCTTTCCATTCATTCTGCCATATTTCTTGTATTTCTTTTGCTATTATTGCTTTTATTTCTGTTTTACTTAATGCCACTTCAATGTCTATTTGTGAATGATTTAATGCCTGTTCAGCCAGATGATCAGCCTCCTCATTTCCCTTCACACCCATATGTGATGGTACCCTCACGAAATTTACCAGAAGTCCATACTGTCTTTATATTGATTATCACAGATTCTTCTTCTTCTTGGTTTTTAACGGCGGCTGGCACCAACGCCGTTAAAAACCAAAACCTTCTGCTCCGGATTGTGGATCAGAAAATAAGTTTACAGACTAAATCACCCGTTCTCCCTCCTTTATCCTGACACACACACACACACACACCTCACCCTGCCCTGCTTTATAATAATAATAATAACCCTAATAATAACAACAACAATAACCTTTTGAGGTTTTATTGGCGGTTGACAAACAACAAAATGGTGTATTACCGCCACCAACTGGTATGGAGTGTGGACTATAATGACTTACTCCCTTTTTTATATCCTCTCAGATGTCCGATTCGTGAGCGAATCGTTCTTTTGATTTGGATCTTTTTAGTGAGTCGGTTGAACCGACACCTCCGTTGAAACGAGGTGCTCCGTTCTCATCCACGCTGCTACATGGATTTAATGGTTTTAGAGTTTTAGAGCAGGTACTATGCCACGCTGCGATATCATGGACTGACTCGAGATAATGTAAAACAGATACTCATATGAATCGCTAAAGTGGTGTTTTGAACTACCTGGATGAACAGACTGTCGGAAATGAGAATTGGTTGAATTTGTTACGACGCTTTGCTTTACGGCAAATGTCACTTCCGAAAGAGTTTAAAGTTATACGTTTCATTATTATTGGTAGAATTGTTTCCAACAAAAATATTATAATTGTAAATAAGGCGTATAATATATATTTCTACCAACATATCTATTGAATATGTCGGTATTAAACAAAGATTTGACTTTTTCTATGGTAACATTGTCCCTTCTCGCGTTCCGTATAATTTTTTACAGCACACGCTGATATTCGGCAGCCGGTGTGTTTTCGGCAGCATGAGTAGATGTGAGAATTAGACTTCACTGTCACTATCTGTGAATTTATTCTCTGATCTTGATGCGGCGGTCATTTACTCTTTATAATGCACCAAAGACATCTGCCAGCCTCTCCAAACTGGTACTGTTCACGCTGCAGTGACATAAATGGAAGGGGAGTACTGGGTTTTGGAGCAAAGAATACAATCTATCTGCTAAATGTGACTGCATCCTCTCCAGCTGTAACAGGTATGAGCTCAGGATGCTTTAATTCAATGCTTTGCTTTTGCAAAATCACATCGATCTGATCAGACCTTCCTCCTGCAGGTGAACTCACTGGGCACACTGAAAGAGTTTCTGGTTTTGCATTTTGCCCCCATGATGGACAAGAACGCATTTGTGCAAGCACTTCAGATGATAAGACAGTCAAAATCTGGGATGCTGGGCAGAAAATTCTGTTGAAAGAGCACAATGTCCACCAAGTGAGTGAATAGCCTACCTGTGATGCTTAAAGTGTTGTGACTGGCTCACAGTTTGTTCACATAACAAGTTTTGTAATATATTACAGTTTTCTTTCTGCCCTTTTCCACAGTGGTAAAAGTGTAAAAACTTCTGGACTCAACAATAACATTTTACCTTGCCCTGACAACAGTTGAATTGCCTCCAAATTAAATAAATGTTATTTTTGTCAGTATATTTAAAATGTGGTTAAATGAATAAAAATAATAATAAATACAGAGTAACTTAATAGTTACTCTATAAATAATTATTTATACTTTTCATTAAACAATTTCACTTTTTTTTTTTTTAGATTTAGATTTTTAATTTGCAGTTAACATCAGGAAATGTTTGCATCTATACTGTTACTCCATGACAGCCATGAAATCATAACTTTGATGAAAATGATGGCGTACAATGCAAAACATAATTTTTCTAATTTTCTATCCATATCACAAATTATTTGGACAACCTGTCATTCTGCTACAAAATTTCACCCTGGTGAGGTGATATTGTGCAACAATGTTAAGGCCTGACATGAAACGGAAATTGCCATTGTCTTTTCATCCCTATTGTGATGAGAAAAATTTTCTCATTTACAATATAGCTCCATGACAGCCATAAACTCATAACTGCTTTTGCTGCTTATTTAATTAAGCAGAGTTTGCAACAACAATGTTTAAAATCATCATGAAACAGAAATTGCGATCATCTTTTCTTTTTTTTATGATTGTGACTAATTTCCAAGTGAAACGGTGTCTTGAACGAGAAACCGTGTAGGACGGCACTTGATTTTTTTTTTTCCCCCATTTTGATTACAAATTACAAGGGCATGTGATTTTTTTTTTTCTTTAATGAAGTGCATGAATAAATAATTTATAATAAACACTGCGATATTCCATAAAAGTATGAATTGTCATTTTTGATTTCATGGTGACTTTAAATATATTATAAAATACCAACTTTAAGTTTGCAAGACATAAAACACATTCACATTATCAGCATATGATAATCATGTTGACTGACCTACCATATGTGTTCATGTTTGAACAGAGCACCATCTCTGCAGTCCACTGGTCTCCGGTGCAGAAACTTCTGCTAGTCACAGGAGATGAAAAGGGCATTGTGGTGTGCTATTGGTTTAGCAGTAATGACACCCAGAGCTTCTTCCCTGAACCTCGAACAATCTTCTGCTTATCCTGTTCCCCACATGAGGAAAACTACATCGCAGTGGGGTAAAGCCTCATTGTATTAATATTTAATGTGTTGGTTGTGATTAGAGAGAGCTCTAGACTCATCAGCGGTGCATGTTAACTGTTTATGCTTCCTCTTAAAGGTACAAGGATGGAATGATAGTAGTGATAGACATCAGTAAGAAAGGGGAGGTGATCCATCGGCTGAGGGGGCATGATGATGAGATTCACGCATTGGCATGGTGTCCTCAACCCAGAGAAGAGCCTCTATATGGGCGATCAGAAGACAAAACAGGTAATCAAGAGATGCTTAAAGATCCATTTAGCCTCAGTCAGATATTACCATTATGTTATTAGGAGTCACACCACATGACATTTCACAACCTGAACTAACCTTGCCTTGTCATAGAAGGTTAAGTATCTGCTAATTATTGACCTTGAAATACAGTTATGAGGGTCTGCAGGGTTCTCTCTATGATATGATTTCCTGTTTTATGTTGTTGTTATTTTTTCTACATGTTAGTGTTGCACCACGTGACTTTGATTTGGCCAAAAAAAAAGTTTTTTTTTCCTAATATTAATAAAGAGTGAAGTTTGTTAAAATATGTTTTTAAAGAAAGACATAATATAATATATAATATATAAGATAAGGTTATGACAAATTTTTAAAAGGGGACATTAGATGCCCATTTTCCACAAGCTGGTATGATTCTTTATGGTCTTCATGAAATGTCTTCATACTTTGGTTAAAATTCCTCAATGGTTTTGTAAAACAACACCCTTGTTACCTTGTCAAAAACAGCTCTGTTCACAGTGAGCTATTTCGGTGCATGTCTCTTTAAATGATAATGAGCTACTGCTCATCCCGCCCCTCTCTTCCATTTTTGTGTATTCAGTGGTGCGTTACCATCAAAAATAAAACTAATCGACTGCGTCCTCAGTGGCTCTGATGTCGGGAGAAAATGAAGACTGTTATGTTCACCTTTACATCCAACTACAAAACACCTGCATTGCTTACGAGACATTGTTATCGCTACAGCTGCTCGAGCGCGGAGAAAATGGCAGACAGCGTACAACTGGCTGAGGGTGGAAATATGCTAATCCGGGACAGTCCGTCAGCAGTCGTGGGCGGGGCTTGAGCAGTATGATGTCATACTGCTCAGAAAATCAGAACTACAGGGGGTTTGTGAGTTGAAGAAAACCTTATAATTAATTTAATAACATTAAAATTAACAAATGGTGCTGCACAGTTAATTGAAATAAAATGGACATGGTAATATGTCTTATAAAATCATTATTATCAAATTAAATTATGCTGCGTTTTTAATTTAAAAAGTATATAGTATGTTCTGCAGCATATTTCATAATAAAGAGCATTACCATGGTTATTAAAGTGAACTAAAATTAAAACCATAAAAAACTTTTGTTACTTGCAATAAAATAAACTTTAAATAAATTAAAATAAAGTAATAAACTTAAACTTATTTTATTTTAGCTAGTTGCCGAAGAAACATTGCTCATTTTAATTTAGTTTAACTTGATGTACTAAAATAACTAAAACAAAACTTGTGAACAAAGGAAGGAACGTCAAATTATTGAAATA